CCACAATTCGTGAAATACTTACGAAGTAGCCCTTTTCCATATAATGAAGTCGCCATCGACTAAGAGAAGATTCTCTAGCTTGAAGTATCCTTTCGCATTGATTCCAGGGGAGTTCTGTCTCCGATCTTCATCTGGCAATGTCCCCCTTTTTCGAGAGTAAGGATTATTCCAAGTCCATTATCGTAAATGACTTCTGTTTCTACACCGAGTAAAGAAGTTTTAAGTCTCATCAAAAGGTTCTTTCCAGAGGCCGTAACCTGTAAGCGTAATTAAATTGGATGAGAAACAGAAAGCAATTAAAGCTAATCGAAACTAACCTCACTGTATGTTCGAGTATTGGTTGAGCCTTGGATCTCCTCATACATGGTGAAGCGTATAAACTTAGTCACCAGTACGGGCATTGTTTTCCTTTCAGGTAAGTAATGTGGACAACCAATTCCAGGTGAAGGCTAATCAAGAGTTAAGTCAGTGTGAGTTACAATAAAATGCCAAGCAATTAAACTTTTGTAAATTATGGTTAGCAAGAAAGATCCAGCAAATTGGAAAATAATTATTAAACATAATTTTGCTTTATCAAGAATCAATGGAAACTCAATTCAAGTTGAATGCGAATGAATTTCTTACTTGAACTTTATACTTTGAAGCATCAAATTGAGCTGAATTGAACTGTTGCAGGTAAATATCTAAAAATAACTTCTCTCCAGGTGGATATGAAGATGGCTCATAGCCATTGAATTCAATTCGAGTTGGATGTTTAACTCCATAAGAAGTGTCATATTTATCTGGTTCATGGACGAGAATAAGAACTGGTGACTTTTTGAATTCATCGCAAATTCGGACTCACCTTTGTAATAAATACTGATTGCTAATGTTTTATGGACTGTAGTCGTTGCACCATTCATATTGAATCCTCTAATTTCTTTCTGCGTAGCTTCACTCTATTGTCAAAATAAAGTTGATGTCAAGTTTCATTAACAAAATAGTTGTTATCAACTTACCCAAACAGTTGATTGTCCAGCGAGTCGGTATATAATTGAAGGTCCCATCAGGAGTATTAGATCTCTGAGAGGTTTATTAGTTCCAAATAGATTCGCATTTTGCGTCATTTTACTGTGAGTGTATAATGTACAATCGTTGCCTTTAATGATGAAAGAAATGAAATATATTTTGATTTAACGAGTTTCACTTATTATAATTTTCAATCCTTATGCTCGATAAATTATGAATAGTTTTTAGTCAAGCTCTCATTTGAATTGCAACAAAACAACTCAACACCATGCATGTACATTTGCACCAGATTCTTACCATGAATAACTAGTCTTTCCTTACTGTCTTTACCAGATCTATCAAACTGATAATGAATATCGTACGAATCCTTATCATTTGAGACAACAATTTTACCCGTGATGGCTGATTCCGAAGCTGATACCAATTCTTTTATTGAATACTTTTCCTTTCCAGACTAAAAATGAAATAAGAGATAAAAATGATTGGCTAAAATGGTTGATTGTTTTACTCACGGAAGCATATAAATTCGCATGGATGACTAACTCTCCACCGGACATCATTAACGGTAGATCCAGCAACTCTGTGACTTGAGCTTTCAATTACATTGTAAATAATGTGTTTTAGAAAGGGTTAGGATAGATTTTATTGGTGGATGAATAATACTCACCTGTTGTCGTCGATGCAATCATAATGAAAATAAAAGAAAGTTCTAACAGCATATTGAAACTTTTAAAATGCATTTATGCTTGTTTTAAGTACTCAGGTTCTAACAAAATGAATTATGAATGTAACACATTTTACATTTGACGAATAAATAACAAACAAAATTATCGTAAATATTTATAAAAAGAAATAACGCCTTCGAGGGGAAACTTGTAGCTATAAGATTTGAAATTATCAATGAGTGAATTCTGAGATAATAGAGTTAATAGAATGGTTACAATTAATACAATTTTCATTCAAGTGCGAAGAATACGAACCAATAGATTCAATAGTTTTCCATGACAATTTTTTATCTTATAATTTGTTTCGCGATGATAAAATCTTATACTAATAAATAAAGTACAGGGTGTTCAGAAATTGTTCGGGAACTTTTTTTTTAAATATCTTTTGAGAATTTTATTTCTTAATCCTAATTTTGGTTTATAGTTGATCCATAACGAAAAGGTAATTATCTGAAACCATGTTCAAAATTCTAAGCCCTTGCATACGGATCCACACAGAGAAAATCACTCTTTGATAGCCTCAATTGCGCTTTCCCTCCATAAACTCAATCGTTGATTTATTCGATGAAGTTGATATGCTTTTGCTTTCTAGAGGGATTTCATGTCTTTTGGCGATAATTTGATGCTTTTGGAGGCCTTTTCTGGTTGAGTAATGCTATTTGAAAAAATATGCATTATATTAGCATGCAAATCGCCGAAATTTTTTTGTAAAATTTTTTGTGTTTAAATGGCTTGAAAATTTACCTTTGATCAAGAAATCAAGAAAATAAAAATAAAAATCAAATGGCATACGTATTTTTGCTTAGAATCCAAAAAAAAGTTCCAAAACAATTTTTGAACACCCAGTATGGTCGAGTGCCTAAAATTACCATCCGATCTCGTATCAGTTAATGTAACCAACGAAATTCAATAAAAAATAAACTTTGATTAGCAAATGATAAGAACGTATCGTAAATGACTTCAGTTTTCACATCGAGTAAGGATGTTTTAAGCCTCACCAAAGGGTTCCTTCCAGATGCCGTAATCTGCGAGCGTAATCGAATTGGATGAGAAACAGACTAAAGTAAACTTATCAAAACAAACCTCACTGAATGCTCGAGTATTGGTTGGGCCTTGGATGGTCTCGTACATGCTAACTTTATCAATAACTTTGGAATCGATTTCCATTCCGATAAGTAACTCGGACAACCAATTCCAGGTGAAGGCTAAACAAGAATTAAGTCAGTGTGAGTCATAATAATATCCCAATCAGTCGGACTTTTGAGTTTCGTGAACAAGAAAGGTTCAGAGCATTGGAAAACAATTCAACGAACATAATTTTTGTTCATAAAAATAGTGAACATTTAAGATGAAGATGCGAATGAAGATACTCGAAAGCAGTAAACTTGAGAAAAGTTGTTCTCTTACAAGCTTGGCTCACCTACAATTTTTGAATTTGAGCTTATATGTTTTAGCAGTTTGCTGGACTAAAAGTTAAATGTCAACAATCGCATCTTGAATTCCTTACTTCAACTTTATACTTCACAAAATCAAATAGAATCGAATCGGACCCAATTTTGTGAAATTCTAAAAGTAAATTCTCCCCAGATGGATATGAGATGGTCCATAGCGATAAAATCCAATTTGAATCTCAAAGGTTGATTCCAGTTAGATGGAATAATAATAAAGTCCCAATCAATTAAACTTTTGCAATAATACGTATTTGGTGAACAAGAAACGTTCAGAGCATTGGAAGCAATACTACTTAAGCATGCAATATTTTTGTTTACCAAATGAACATTTAAAATTGAATGAAGTTACTTTAAACCTAAACCTAAAAAGGTTGTCTTCTTGTATGTATGTTTCACCTAATGAACTGAACTCGAGCTAATGATATGTTTCAGTCATTCAAATGACTGAAAGTCAAATGCCAATGATGAAACTTGAATTTCTTACTTTAGTTTTGTACTTTAAAGCAGCGAATCCCATCAGATTGAACTGTTGCAAGACGATATCTATGAATAACTGCTCTCCAGGTGACTTTGAAGATCGGACATAGCCACTGAATTCAATTCGAGTTATATTTTTCACAAGAATTCCTCTGTTTTCATCATATTTAAATGAAATACTATCGTCGAAATAAAGTTAATGTCAAGTTTTATTAACACAATTATTGCTATCAACTCACCCAAAGAAATGATTGTCCACCGAGTCGGGATATAATTGAAGGTCCCATAAGCATTATTAGATCTCCAAGTGGTTCATTTGTTCCAAATAGATTTGCGTCTTTAGTAATCCTGCTATAACTACATAATGTGCAATCGTTACCTTTAATGAACAAAGAAAATGAAATGTATTTTCGTTTATTCTATCCTTAGCTATAATAAATTATGAACAGTTTTTAGAAAAGTTCTCATTCGAATTGTTACTTTTGAACAATTCAACATCATACATGTATTTGCATCAACATTTAAACAAGTTCTTACCGTGAATAACCAATATCTTCTTACTGTCCTTTCCAGATTTATCAAGCTGATAATGAGTATCATACGAATCCTTATCGTTCGAGACTGCAATTTTACCCGTGATGGCTGATCCCGAAGCTAATACCAATTCTCTCACTGAATATTTTTCTCTTCCAGACTGAAAGTAAAAGTAGAAATAAAGTGATTTCAAATAAAAGTTTTGAAGCGTTTTACTCACGGAAATATAAAAAATTTGTATGGATGACCAACTCTCCATCAGACATCGTTAACGAAAGATCCAGCAACTCTGTGACTTGAGCTGTCAAGGAAAATAATTAGTAATAGCAAAGGTCAGATTAGCCTCTCATCCATAGACGAATTATCCTTTTACTGACCTGTAGTTATCGTTGCAATTACAATGAAAATAAAAAGAAAGTTCTAACAGCATTTTAAACACTTTTGTTGCTTTCAAATTGCATCGAAGAAGCTATTGCAATTTATGATTGTTTAAAGCACTTAGGTTTCAGCAAAGTGACTTATGAACGTAAAATATTTACAGTTGACAAGTGAATTGCAAACACGCCTCGATTGCGGGTACAAGTTAAATTTGTAATAAACGATTCACATAATTTGAAGATGGGTCAATTTCAGTACATTAGAGTTCTCAGTAAATACGTACAGTTAATCAATCGATTTCACAAGCCATAACTACGGAACATTGATTAAATGTTTCCATTGAACTTTTTATTTTATGAATTTAATCTTTTTTATGCAATATGCTTGATATTATATACCAAGTAAATAAAACTTATATGATGTTATTTGATACTAACAGTATCAATAGCACTTTGCAGGCAACCAAAGTTAGAAACTCTTGTCTATTAACCTGAAACTTGTGCTTAAAATGAGGTTATCACCCTCTTGACCAGAGCTATGATTAGTTTATCCAATTTGGCGTTTTATCCGTGCCTTTGCTAAAGTAAAAATTGAACCTCCAACAAAAAAACGTTTCGCTGTTTCGCTTTACTATGCAACTTCCTTGAAAATTCAACTAAACTCCAAACTGGCCTGATACCTTCTTATCGTTCAATGGTTTCGGCAATTGAGTGAGTATCTTAAATAATAATTTAATTTCTCCATTAACCAAAGCAGTCGATATTTTTTCTGATAAATTAATTCGAATTTCACATTGCAAGCAAATGGATCTAATAAGTAGCTATTGGTCCTGATTGCTCAAAAAATTTTTAGAACGACTTTCTTGATATTTCATCTCTTTTCAGCATTTGACACAAAGATGTAGTTTTAGGATTTTCTGAAGCTTTAAAAGCTACTGACCATGAAGCTTATCTTGCTGGACATTTAGCTACTAAAAGAGGATTTCCATTCGAAAATAAATAGTTGTTCTGGCGGTTCATCATGAAATAAGTAGTTCGATCTGAGATTCATTAAGCTTAATCATTCTGATAATGAAATATTTCTCAATCAAAAATCAATGTTTTCGTTTATCAAATAATATTCTTTAATTAAAACCCGGTATTAGATTATTTACAAATGTATCATGATTTCTGGTTATTTATGGTTGTTACCCTTACAATTAATACATTGTTGTTTCTATTGTTTAATCTTGATAGATGATTTCAAGTTGATAATTATCTGGTAAATAAGTTTCTAGTTTCGCATTCATTGGAAACAATTGTACAAACAATTCATGATTAGAACCTTTTCCTCCCATGTTGGAACCGTTACAAGATTATCTATTCTCACTCAACCTAAATTCACCAGTAAACAGTTTTCTACTATTCATAAAGATTTCACACCTTGTAGGAGTTAATTTCAAAGTGATTGTCAAACTTTTGGTTTCCAAGTCCAAACATCTTTAACCAATTTAATCAAAATGTCAATATCATTCTCACAATTGACCCGAACTCACATGATCGCGATCGGAGTCACTGTTTTACTAGCCACGGCCATTTGCGTCGGAGTTTTGGTCTCAAAAAAATCATCAAGTTCGCAATCATCAACATCTCTTTTCGCCACGTATAAAGGTAAGTCCACTAACAATTACATCAGGAAAACTTGAATTAATTTGGTAAAACTTTATTCTGTTGAAACAGATAAATTACTTCAACTTGATCATGCAACTCAATGGAAAAGTTACACTTCAGAAACAGTGTCTTTAGACGGAGCTTTTGAAGCCGGAGAAGATTCAGATGGCAAAAAGATTTATCCATGTCGAGCTAGTTACTCAAGAGATCTCATGTCAGGAACATTCAAATCTAATGCATGTTGGGTCACTTATGGTGGTAGAGCTTATTCTCAAAGTACATTTGAGTTACTCGTAACCAAGAACCCTTCTGCACTCCTTTGGTTGCCCAACTCAAACGGTGGAGCCTACAATGGAGCCATAGTATCTGGAATGACTTACACTGACGATGAACTTTTAGCTGCTCGGGTCAGCTTCTATTACTATTATGCTGTCGGTAAAATGCATGATCGTTATGCCTCTGCATATGTCCCAAGAGGAAATACAGAATACGAAACAAAAGAGTACGAAGCCCTCTGTGCAGTCGATTATTCTTTGTGATTTTGAATCGATGCATTTTGCATTAGCTGATTATTTACATGCAATTTCAATTGTAATTTATTGTTGTCAAGTATTTCAAGGCTAAATATATTTGATTAACTAACAAATGATACAATCTTTTCGACTTTATTTCTGTTTAATCTAAACGCCCCGTTAAAAGCATTCATTAATCTGGTGTGAAATGATCAACGATTAATTGATAAAATTCAACTTAACAAATATCGGTTTTGTTACTTTGTACTTTCTCATTAGAATTGGGTTTCATTAGAAATCTTTGCTAATATCTCAAGAAAATCTTATTGATTTCGTCGTAGCGCTCGTTTTAGACTTTTCTTGAAGAATCAGAATGAATATTATCAGCAAGAAAAATTAGTCATTTCAAGAATTGGGAGGTTTCTTTATCAATGCTACTGTTCGACTCGTTTTAACTTTACTTAAACGCTTATCATGTTATATTTTTTGCTTCTGTTTCAATTTTTGTTCGCCATTACTCCTCATTCAATCTGGAAACTCACAGTTTCTCAGATTCACCATTAGGATTTAGTTTTGATGATTCTGTGTCTTGAGAACCAAAAATTTTGCTTCGAACTCTTATTGCCATTGTTTATCAGGAATTACAATAATATTTTCTTACTTTAAAAGGTCAGTTCCATCAACTAAGGTCTGGCAATTTGGTTGCTCATTCAACTTTAACGTTTTTCTGTTGTTTAGTTTCTAGTTTCAGTGCTAACAAGCGAAGTGAGTGAACGAGTTTCGAGTGAACGAATCCATCTTCGACAAAATACTGTAAGTCAATCAGTAATTCATGTATTCACCCAGAAAATGAGTTTTCCTCAAAAAAATTGTTGTTATTAAGATAATAAGTTAGATGTGTACCAGAATGGTTTCCATTGATCTCATACTGGGATAACATGTTCCTATCAGATTAATATTTGTAAGTGGTGAATGAACAAATAGCTGATACTATTTATAATAGTTTTTAATTTATTTATTTAAATCGAAATTCATAGGAACCTTGAAACTTTCAATCTATGAAAATGTTTGTTTGATCTTTAATGAACGTTACTCCTTCAATGTGATTTTTAAAAGCATCAAATGACCCGATACTCGGATGAGGCTGATTCTTCAATAGATATTAATCCATTATGATAAGGTTTCATTAAAATTTTGTCATGAAACACTTCTGTTGGTTATGTGATGTTATTCGAATGAAATCTGAAAACAGCCTCACTGTGTAGTATAAGTTTAAATATCTGTTTGAATTATGTTTTCAATCAAAAATATTGTAGTTTATAAATTAATTGAAAAATTGACAAATTTTTGGGTTTCTTCAATGAAAATGAGTTTAAATTTTAATGCAACAAATTCATCTATTTCATTAATTAATATTTGTATCACTAAAAGTTGAGCAAATTAGGCGTTTTTAATTATCGAGTCAGGGTCATTGTAACGCACATGATTACATTGAATACATTTAATCTTGTGTTCTTATTAATCAATTTTTAAATCAGCTTTATTTATTCATTGACACCCATTGATTAACTTGAATTTCAACCAAGACCAACCGGGCAAATCGCTATAAACCGCCCTGAATAATCAGATTTTAAGAGCTGATAACGCTTTTGGTTTGATACAATTCGGGTTAACATTCAGTCATTGAGTTAATAAAGCTTCCATTTAATTGTAAAGTTACTTTTGTGATTGAAAGTTCATCAACTGTCATTTGTTTAATAATTAAGTAAAATGCCTCAAAAAGTGACTTTTTATTTATTCTTAGCCTTGGCTATTCACTGTGTTTACTCAACTCCAAGTGATGGTGAGTATAAAGATATTATTAAATTATGCGTTTGTATTAACTCTCAATCTGTATTAATTCAGATCTGTTGAAGAAAAAAAACAGTGAATATCCAACTTGGATTGAAGCGAATGGACGCATCAACGATCCTAAGGCCATTACTATCGGGGAATTCCAAAACTCTAAGAATCCGGTTATTTGTCGACTCGTCACCTCAGATGGACTGATTCCTGGTACTGCCGACCCTGCTTCTGGTGTTTGTACGGCCATCTGGAATAATGCTGTTGTAACCTCATCTCACTTCGAATACTTGAGTGGACCATTAGGTCGACTTGACTGGGCTGAATCTAATCGAGGTAATATACCAACAGGTGCCGTTATCGGTGGAATCACAAATGACGACCGTAAAATATACATCGTTCGGTTGGCCAAGGATAAAAACTCAGTTGAAACCTATTATGGTGGAGGAATAACAAAAGGTGACCGATCAGGTTCAGTCTTCAAGGAAGGTAAAGCCTTTACTACACCCACCTATGAAGTTTTATGTTTAACAACTATTATCATTTGAAGATATTGTTCATGATCATTATCTGTACTTTTGAAAGAGCTATCAGCTAATCACTTAACAAATTGTAACGTTAAAGATACTCTTCGTTTAATTGTTGTACAATAAATGTTTAGATTTTTCGATTCATAAAAAAATTAAATTTTGATTAAACTCTTCTAATGAAGTCTCTATTTATTCAACAATTTTGCTATTGAATATACAATGTAATAATAAATCAGTGAATCGCATTATTGTAATGATTGTTACCTGGGTACTTGCTACCTAATATTCAGTGCCTTAATGGATAAGGTTAAATTGGTTAGATACGGAATCAGGCCCAAATCGAATGGGAAAAAATGGTTAAATAACTAACCAATAAACACTCACGTGTATTATGAATCAACACCTAATGATGTTTATGATGAGGATGGTGTTAGAGAAGATTCTGGTTAGTTCTGGTTAATAAAGGGTGAACCAAAAGTAGGAACACAAAATAGTTACACTAAGGTTTTCCATAAGTCTCTATGGTGAACATGTTCTTTACATATCTATTGATAGTAAATAGACTTACAAAGTGTTAGTTTAGACAACTAATCATCTAGTATCGATTTTTCGGTGTCAACTAAGAATTGATCGATTTATTCCTTGGGTACCTGAAGTTGGGGTTACCAAAAATCAATCTTCTGAAAAAGCCGCACAATTTGGTTGTGAGCTCATTGATTGTCTCCTAGTCTTAACAATAAATGCAAATAGTGTTGTTTGAACACCCAACCCATTCTTGTGATCTGGAAATCATCTGAAAATATCAGCTTTAGCATATTTATTTCTCAATAATTTCACTTGATTCTAGATTATTAGATTCAAAACGTAAACTTAAACTTGGCGCCTATTTAATAACTCACATGTTACAACTCAAAATGTTATTTTTTCATAATGTCTTTCATAATGTCACAGTTTCCTTATAATTTAACTTTTTACGGCTTCAATCTTAATTTAAATGTGAAAGCGCTAGTTTATGATCAAATTTAACAATGTCTTTAAATTATGCCCGATTTAAAGCTGCTAAAGCGATTTTAAAAAGACCCAAAACCGTGAGTATTTCTAATTTGTTCATCACTGCAAAATCAACATGTGTTTTAATCAGATACCGAAGCTAGCGAGATGCTAAATGGCTGGCTTAATTCTGATAAAATCAAGCTTGGCTTGGCTCAGCCGGCTTGAGCTACTCAGCTAATTAAAAGGCTGAGTTGGCTGAGTTTGGCTTGAAAAATTGCATTTAATTCAATTTTATAAGTTAAAAAATATCTTCGTATTTTATTATATTAAACATTTAACACCACTTTAATGACATAACTCAACATACTCTATCCAATGACACCTCTCTCATTCAAATTGGCTTCAGACGTTCACTTCCCTTGTGAGTGAACTTATCATAATTATCATGAGCAAATAAAATTTTATCAATTCTACATGGATTGAGTTGCCAGCGTTTTAATGAGTTAATTATTTCTAATGAAATAAACAAGATTTCAGTGCAAATTACAAGTAAAAACAGAATTTGAGCGAAAAAAAACTATTTCCAAGTGAAAAAGATGACCAAATTTATTAGCTAGCCGACTCAGCTAAAATTGAATTTGACTGGCTTGAGCTGGCTCGAGCTATTTACTTTTAACTGGCTTCAAGCACGTGAAGAAATAGCTGGCTGGCTGGCTCAATTGGCTAGCTTCGGTATCTAGTTTTAATTTCATGTTTATCTTTTCATTTTACTGTTAGAGATGCACGATGCTAAGAATGTTTCTTCCATTGTTTTGAAAATGAAATTCGCAATACAATTGTCGAAGGTAATTTATTTAAACCAGGAGACAAAGTTGCCATTGGAGCGAGCGGAGGAAAAGATTCAACAGTTCTGGCTTACATTATGAAACTCTTGAACGAAAGACACAACTATCGTCTTAATTTAGTCTTGTTATCTATCGATGAAGGTATAACCGGTTACCGAGAGGATTCTTTGGAGACTGGGAAACAAAACCAGAAAGATTATGCCCTACCTCTAACTAATCATACAAAGATCTATATGGTTGGCCAATGAATAATGATATAATCTGAAAAATTGGGAAGAAAAATAAATTGGTGATGTTTTCGCTATCAAGCTCTTGATCTTGTTGCGATCAAACTAGGTTGCAATTTTTCTCTGGATATAATGCAGACGATATAGCTGAAATGCCCAATACACATAGTCTCTAAAATGGAGCAAATGAAATGTTTTTGATCTGAAACGTGTAAATTGTATCAAGTATCCATGATACTGAATATATAATATAATTAAATCCTGATTGTATGCAATTTATAAGCCATTACAATGAAACAATTGAATGAAAATATATCTTGTATAATAAAGATCACAATGTCATAACACTTGTTACTTTAAAAAGCCACACAAAGTTCAGTTGCTACTGATATAAAGAACTATTAAACTTGAAAAATCTAAATTTATCTTAAAAGGAATTAAATTTCCTGTCAAAACTAATCTCAAGACCAGTTAAACAATTACAATTGGTACAAATTAATGGACCTATCCAGGTAACCATGAAACTTGTTCAAAGTTGTTTAGAGATTAGCCTCTTAAAACAGTTGGTTACTTGATTGACTGATTTAGTTAACATTATTATATTAGTAACAACAAAAAAGTATCAACTTTTAGTCGAGTTTCATGTCCATTTAATAATAAAATGTAAATTGTGAATAAAAGTGACTCAACATGAAAGTAATTGTTGATAAGCAGTTAAATGGTAATCAATGTAACTTGTCGACTTAAAAATAGGATTGCAAGGGAAATTGATGTTATGGGTTAACAAAATTTCGGCTTTTCTCTCTTTTCCATTGAATGAGGAACCATTACGGTCAATGACTTTTGACTGAGAAACAAGATTAAGTTATAAGTAAAGAGACAACCCTGATCTGCTTTCGTGGGATGTTCAGGAATGTTTCATCTGCTTTTCCGCATCAAATGACAATTACCGTTACTCATGTTCACTTCAATTTTAGCGGTCACTTGTTTATCAACCACTTGACCCTTGAAGATAATCAAAAATCACTTATTTTCTTGTTCCACCAAACAATCATTTTTCCCATTCATAGAGATTAAACTTGTTATTGCTCCTCTGGTAATCAATTGAATCAATTGAAATAATCCTTTGAAGGGAACAATAAAACCAAGGAATAATTGTGATCGTTAAGCCTAATACAAGTTGATTTTTCAAAAGAATCTCAAGATCGTTGATCTTTCTTACGAATTTTCGAAGTGCAATGATTCGTTCATGATTCTGGCAGTTCTAATGGTTGCTTCAGTTTCCATAATTTTCATTCCAAGTGTTTCCCAAAAAACTATTTACTTTTGCGTTGGTGTTTAAACTCAGGGTAATCAACTAATTCTGCTTCAAGATATTAATCTGTGGCTTAACGGTATTTGAATGATGATGAAGATGACAAAAGAAAAATGAAATGCTTTGATAAAAGCTAGTGAACTTGGTTACGACTGGAAATGATAAACTCAGTGAACATTTGTGATTCAGTTTTATCTTTATTATTCAAGTTTCAGTCCAAGATGGAGAGAGAAAAGCAGGAAGATAAGGATGAAAAGATGAAGAGAGGAAGTGAGCAGCAAAAAGGAGAGAAAAGAATAAGCTGAGGAATGAGTGAGTCAAAGTGGCCTTAACTACCAGCGATAACATTGTCCGCTCAATAACTGTAAATGACGACCGGATTTCATTTTTATATTTCATTGCTTTATCTAAACTTTTGCCAACCAATATAATGGGAAACCTTCACTGATTTTAGTTCAGTTAATTAATCAACTTATTCTGGTGATCATCTTCATTTTCATCTTTTCATGCATTTCAAACGTTTTTAAAAAGTTAAACATTGAAGTTACCTTTTGTTTACCTCTGTTTGTTCAGTCATTGTTTATTCAAAACCTTGACCCTTTTCAAAGTTTTTGCTGTTGATTTTTGACTCTTTATTTGGTTCATAATTTTGTTAAGCTTTTTCACCAATTTGCTATTCGAATTGACTTTTTACTTTGAATTGACTTTCATCCATTAACTATCAGTATGCTTAATCATTTGGTGAATGTTCATTTCTGTTCCATCGTAATTTTGTTCTTGTTCCAATTTTCTTCCAAAGTCTCCGGTCATGGAAGGTTGATTCAACCTGCTAGTCGGTCATCTGCTTGGCGATTTGGTTTCCCAACTACTCCTAATTACGATGACAATCAACTTTTCTGTGGAGGTTTTACAGTAAGTTCATGTTAATTTTACTGACTTTCCAATTTAAAGATGAATTTTCTATCAACCGATCTGAGAAATAAATTTAATTCAGTTTACTAAAATAAATCTCATTTCAAAGTAAATTCAATTGCATGATATTTACCTGTTCTTGCACGATTGTTTAGTCAAAATCCATTGTTTTTATATTTATATATCGCTAATATTTAATGCTTAAATGTAGAAATTTATTCATCTGCAAAATTGCTTTGCATCAATACTATTCCAGACTGAATTAGCATCAAATTGAGCATATAACTCGGCAAAAATAGTTTCTTAACGAAAAGTGATCGATTTTGTAGATTTAGGGTTAAAGCTGTATTTTAAAGACATTAGAGGGCAGCTCTTGATTATAAAAATTTTGAAATCAATACGAAATTGTTGCTTTAACATCTGTAAGACTCTTTATTAACGAGTGAAAGCAAATGACTAAATAACGCCAGTAAAAGTCAGTCAATAATTGGAATTTATTTATTGTTTATTAATTGTGCATCTCAATTTCAAGGTTAATTATTAGTTTGATTGTTATACAGGGATTTCATAGATCAAGGTAACTGATTAAGATTGGTAAATTACTTCCTTTGCTATCGAAAAAAGGATTAAAGGATTGGTGCTTTTTTGCTGATAATATTTACTAATACCTTTTTGTTTTTTCGTTTTTATTAGGTTCAATGGGATGTGAATGATGGTAAATGTGGAATCTGTGGTGATCCCTATTCTGGTCCAAAGCCAAATGAGTTGCCAGATGGAAAGTATACCAAACCGTTAATTATCACTGCTAATTATACTGAAGGAGACACAATCACTGCATTAGTTCAGCTAACTGCCAACCACCATGGTAGCTTTGATTTCCGTTTGTGTCCAGCCACCAGTGATAAGGTTGAAGTGACTCAGGAATGTTTAAACTCTCATGTACTTGAAGTTCTTAATTCGGTTGATGGTTCACGTTATAAATACACTGTACCCGACGATGCCCACAGAACTTATGAAGTCTCAGTAGCTCTTCCGAGAGGATTAACCTGTGATCGATGTGTATTCCAATGGACCTACACGGCAGGTAATAACTGGGGTCGTTGTGATAACGGAACTTCAGCAACAGGATGTGGTCCACAAGAAACATTCAGAGCTTGTGCAGATGTTCGCATAAATTCAAAGTCAAATAAAGAAGATGACGAATGCGATGATGACGATAGGGATGAAAAGATTGAAAAGGAAATTTCTGAAGTTGATAATGACATTGATTCATCTTCACCAAAAATATCTTCAACCACAACAACAAATCCAAAAGATGAAATTGAACGTGAATCCGTTACAGAAAAACCAAAATTGTATTCTGGTACCAGACGCTCATGGACAACTGAAGCCACAGAAAAGGAAAGCTCAACTAAATGGGTTAGAGAAAAAGAACCAACAACACCTAAATCCATTCAGTCAGTATTAACTCCAAAATCAGTTTCTGATGTAACCAGTAATGGATTATTAAAATGTATTCCTGTTGGAAGATATCGTAAATCGTCTGGAATGGAAAGATGGTGTTTAGATAACTGCAATGTCGGTTTCTGTCCTCCAACACATTGTAAATGTGAATAAAGAGAAAAACAAAGTTTATTTCATCCTTACTAATCAGCCCACCAGCCCACAAAGTATAACAAAATCAGCTATGATTGAAGTCGATCTCAGTTACAAATTTCAAATATTTAAATCCTTTTCTTCAAACGAAAATAAATTGTTCATTTAATACAATGTATTAAGAAAAATCAAATCTAAGGTATTAAATTGTATACAACTATTTTACCCTGCATAAATCAAAAGACTATTTTATTCAGCAATTACATTACCTAACAAACATCACTCCATTTTCACATTTCGATACAATCTCTTGCCTTGATCCTGACAAGAGATCTAAAGCTTGGTACTAGTTTAGAAGTTCAATAAGGACTTATCTTCTACTTACGATTGACTTTGAATATTTATTTCCATAGGAAAGCATTAAATAGCATTCCTTTAACAGTGTTGCTAAATTTAAAAGTAATATTTACGCAAGCATAAATTGATTATTTTAACAATAATACAAGACAAGTACAGTTTATTTCGATTTCTGCATTACATTGAGCTGTCATTGATATTAGTTTAATGGCCATAAATTTGCAGTGAGTCAATGAAAATTTAATCTAGCTCAGTATTAATTTCCTCTGTTTTACTTCTCATTGTATTAAACCAAATAATTAGCGTTCTTTCAGCTATTGTTAATTAGTGTAGCCTGCAATCATAAATTATCACAAATGTCGTTTCTTTGCGCACAATAAATGCAACCAGATTTAAAAGACTCAAATTCTTATGGAAAAATCATTGTCAATAAGAAAAACTAAAACAAAATCTGGTTATTATTACAATACATATTGTAGTTTCAAAACGTAAACTTAAACTTGGCGCCTATTTAGTAACTCACATGTTACAACTCAAAATGTTATTTTTTCATAATGTGACTTTATTATGGTTGTAATCTGAATTTAAATTGATAATTTATTTCTAATTTAATAATGCCTTTGAATTGTGCTTGATGTAAAGATGCTAGATCAATTTTTAAACGTCCTAAACCGGTGAGTATTTCTAATTAGTGTGTATCATTTCAAAATTAACATGTGTCTTGATTTTCTGTTTATCATTTTCATTCTACTATTAATAACAGAGATGCAGATGTGCTAAGAATGTTTTTTCCAATGTTTTGAAAATGAAATTCACAATACAATTGTCGAAGGTAATTTATTTAAACCAGGAGACAAGGTTGCTATTGGAGCGAACGGAGAGAAAGATTCAACAGTCCTGGCTTACATTATGAAACTCTTGAATGTAAGACACAACTATCGTCTTAATTTAGTTTTGTTATTTATTGATGAAGGTATAACCGGCTACCGAGATGATTCTTTGGAGACTGTGAAACAAAACCAGAAAGATTATGCCCTACCTCTAACTATTTCATGAAAGATCTATATGGTTGGTCAATGGATGATATTGTTCGACAAATTGAGAGAAAAACAATTATACATTTTGTGGTGTTTTTCGCCGTCAAACTCTTGATCGTGGTGCGATCAAACTAGGTTGTAATCTAATTGTCACTGGACATAATGCAGACGATATAGCTGAAACCATTTTAATGAATGTTCTTTGAGGTGATATTGCTAGGTTAAAACGTTGCACTGCGATAAAGACAGGATCTGGTGATAATCCAGAAGAAAATGTAGTTCCAAGATTCAAATATTCATACGAGAAAGAAATCGTTATGTATGGATACTTCAAAAAGCTGCACTATTTTTCTACTGAATGTATCTACGCATCCAATGCTTATCGGGGACATGTTAGGAGTTATCTTGGAGACTTGGAATCCATTCATTCATCTGTCATTTTAGATGTAATACATTCGGGTGAAGTACCGCCAGTTGATGGAGATATTAAATGATAAGTTCTTGGAGCCATTGAGAGATGTTCATATATTTCAAGCCAAAGGATATGTAAGGCTTGTGTTATGTTGTTAGGTTGATCTACATTAGTTTTTGGAAAAATAGTAAAGCTGACTTGAAATGTGAATAAATTTTGGCGTTTATTTGGCATGGATTGTACAACTACAATATGTATTTATATATCGAATTCAACAGAAAAGTTGTTCCAATTTTGTTCTGTTTTTACGTAGCACCATATCAGCCATAATCTCAATAAATTGGGGATCCACATACACAAAGTCTCTGAAATGGAGAAATACAATGTTAAATTTTGTCTAAAACGTGTAAATTGAAAACATAAACAAATAACCAATACTTACTCTGTATTCTTATCCATAACCAATACTTCTGGATGTTCCTTGACCAAGCTGATAACACATCCTGGAAGCCATGGTTTAGTTTGATTTACAAACATCAAGACCATAGACGTGAAATCTAATTCTTCGTTTTTCGTATATTCATCATATGACTTGAATAAATGCTTAATAAACATTGATTCCGAATAGGCAACTAAAATTAAAAACAAAACAATAGCAATTGCTGACTTAGACATTATAAGCGAGGTAAAGAAAAGAAAAGAAAAGAAAACAAGGAATATTCAATGTGTATTAAAACTAGCACAGAGTAAAATGAAGGAATGAAGAAATGTCAAATTTAAACTAAAGGATTCAAATTCAAATTCACAATGATAGGTAAGTTTGAACATGGAGGATGGAACGAAACTGATTAGAACTAATCTCACCTTAAAGTGTCAGTTTGTCAATTTCAAATGGACCCTTCAGGCCATCAGATTTGAAGGATCATAGCTTGGTTTAGATTCAAAACCAAGAAAGCAAAATAGAGCAAAATTTGCCTGACATTTCATTTCGTCTGGACCAATCTCAATGTTCATCTATTTAAACTCGTTCAGTCGATCCTTTTGTTAGTCGATTATCAACCAACAGTTGATTTCAAGTCAAGTTTTATTGTTATGTTGCTTTGAATCAACTCATGTCGTTGATCCCATCAATTAAGACGCAATCATTTCATCGAATTAACTAAGGAATTCTATGCAATTAGAACAAGGAAATTGAAACAATTAGGTAAGAATAAATTTAATTTGATTTGTTCATTGATCTTCGAGAAGATTTGACAGATGGAAACCATGAAAAGAATCAAGCTTTAATCCTTGATTACTGTACCTTTTTAAGTAACCCAATTCACCTGTAAAATATCTGTTTAATTTATATTGGTCATTTCTTATGTTTATTCATATCAATGTCATGCTAATTAATTTATTGTCATAATGGAAGTTCCATTGTTTTTTCATATTGCCTTTTAATACAAACGCATTGATTGGTTTTACAATCAAATTGAGAAATAAATAAATTAAAAATTGAATTGTGATTCATTGAGCTTCCAACATTTGACTTCAATATAAAATTAAAGCCCAAGGTGTTAAAAACAACATTTATTTAACTTAAATTTACAGTTAATTATTATATAATTGAAACTGAACTTGAAATAAAAACAAATCAAAGGTTATTATTATAAAAATATTTTTACAAAATTTAATTACGCTCTTTATGTCGAAAATATAATAGTTTTAATATTTCATTTCAATCAGCATTCAATATTTTCAAGCTTCCAGATTAACCTTGACCTTATCAACTAAATTAAATTTATCATTCTCTAGATGAATATATACTAATGAAGAGCATTAGACTCCGAAGTCAGTCGTTGAAAAAACGACTGACTGACTGGGGGTTTTTCCGACTGGCGGTCGACTCAAGTCGAATCAGTCGACTTTCACTCAAAACGACTGGCGGTCGACTCATTTCGACTCAAAGCACAATTTTTGAGGGGGTAAGAGGGGGTTTTTAAGAGACGATCTAAAAACAAACAAGAAAGTAAATTTTCTGCTTAAAATGATCTTTTTAGTTAATATATTAGCTTTTTTATTTAATATCAAAATCATCACAAATCTACGTTACATAATCAAAGTTGCCATGTATAAACATATTTAAAAAAAATTGTTGAGAAAATGATGTGTTTGGCGCTTAAACTCAAATTTTGAGTCAAATCAGTCGACTTAGTCGTCTCAAATTAGAGTCGACTAAGTCGACTCAGTTGATACCTCAATCAACTGGCGCTCAGTCGAATCTTAATCAACTGACTCAGCGGCTCAATCGACTGACTTTGGAGTCTAAAGAGCATTTTAACCAGATTAAAATTAATGATCAAATGCATTAGTGAAGTGAAGCATAATCTTGAGTAATTAAAGGTAAGGCTCCAAACTAGATGAATAAATTGAATAATTATGTCAATTCAGATCAATTTAAGCTTCTTATCTGTGTTTATTCATGACTCTGTGAGCATTTAATCATTTATAATGAAAAGTTAAATGTTGATCAAAGACAAGAAAATGAAAAATTTTCAGTTTCTTGTTCATCTTTCAAGTGATAATCGGATGAGTTGAGCATTAAAAAGTTAATAGTTTAACTGTGATTAATTTGAATTGTTGACACTCCATTGAAAGACTTCGGTGGAGTCCGAAGATTCATGTGCGGGGAAAAGGTTTGACCAGATTTGAGTTTATTCAAGTTTCTGCTTTTCTCATGAAAAACATGGTGATGATGATGAGCTATTTTCTGTGAATTTGAATAACAGTTTGGACATTTGATTGTTGGCTTGACTGGAGGGAATTGAGGTTTAACCAAAAGGTAAGGAATCGAAACAGTTTGGCCAATTTTCGCAAAATAATTTCTATCGTATTTAAGTCCACGCATTCGGTACAATTTACGACGATAAGCCATTGGACTTGAAGGTGAAGGACGCAGTTGATGATAAGGTCTATTGGAACCAGATAAATCTGTAGAACTGTTTTCACTGAAGAAAAAGGAAAACAAATTAAGCGTTCAATCTCTGATTAGATAGTTTATTTTTTCTGTTTTCATTCATTCTTTTAATCAGA